TCAGCACTGGCAGCAACCGCACGCGTGATGGGGAGACGCTGCGAGAGGGACCTGGTGCGCGGGGGAGCAGGAGGGACGCGGCTGGGGCGGCCGCACTTACAGCCTTTGGCTTGAAGGGAGGTTGGATCTCCTTGCGCTCCAGCTTGTCCCAGTCGATGTAGCGGAAGAAGGCGTGTTCCTTGATGTCCCGCTCCCCCTCGGGGCCGCAGCCCAGGCGCTTGGCAGGGTGCTTGGTCATCAGCTTGGGGAGAGGAAGAGAAGAGACAGTCACTCACAGCATCTCCAGCTGCTTCCCAAAACGCCCGCTCGGAGGGGTCCCCCAGGGTGCTGTGCTGCCTGGCTGGGACATCAACCCGCAGCAGGTCCTGACCCCATCACGGGATCCTGTTTCCTCTCCTGCTGTTTGATGCCCAAAGCAGAGAGAGGGAGAAGCTTGAGCATCTCCAGGGACAGGAAAGGCTGACAACAACCACAGAATAAGCACATTGCAAGTATAGGAGCCTTGGGTGGGATGAGCACATCCCTTTTTCCTCTGGGAACAAAATTGGGTCACCAAGACACACACCAGGGTGGTGGCAGAGCTCCCACCCTGGCACAGCTCACCAGCCAGCTGCAATGGGGGCAGCAGGACACCTGCTGAGCTGCTCAGCAGCCCCTCTGCTTGGGAGCAAACTTCTCAGCAGCTGCATAATTCATTTTTAAAGACCACTGCCCGATCAAGGTGAACAACCTGCCCTCAAAAACTTTCATTAGGCTTAGAAGCTGAACCCCCACTTCTCTGAAGCTGCAGCAGCATGGACAGGAGACACATTTCTAATCAAAGAGCCAAATTAGAGAAAAGAGTGCAATCAGTTAATTTATGCTGTTTATCAATCTCAGCTTCTCCTCTTCAGTGGCTCAGTAACAAAAGTGAAAAGGGCCAGGGGAATAAAGGGCTGCACAAACATTAATATCCCAGGGGCATTGTCTGAGCTGTGTTCAGAGATCAGATGGGGATTCCTGAGATTTGTAAGAAGCTGATAAGCACGGAGAATATGAGCCAAACACCTGCAACAAAAGGCTGACTTTATTAAAAGCAGGGCAGTTAAACCTGAGCCCAGAGCTGTGCAGAGGTTGCAGTGAGCCTGGCTCTGTGTCCCAGGGCTGTGGGCCTGCAAGAGCTGCTCCCCATGGGGTGGAGAGGGGGGGTTACGGGGGTGCCTGGTGGGTTCAGCTGAACAAGAGGATCTCTGCCTCTCCTTGGCAGGCTCAGGACAGCATCCTGACAATTCAATCAGGTCCCATTTAGCTGTGCTAAAGCAGGAGAATAAAAAGCATCCTGTGACTCAACAAGATTTTCCTAAAGCAAGTCCCCGACAGCAGCCTGAGAGCCTGGAACATGCTAATAAACTGATCTGGTATCTGGCTGTCGCCTCAAGAAGCTTAGCTTGCTTTCAGCAAACACAAAAGGAAATCTGCTCGTGGGTCTTTCTGTTCAGTGCTGATCCTGAGCACACGGACACCTCTCCAGCTCTAAGTGCCAGAGATCATAGGCCAAGGAGGGCAGGCCGGGCTGTGCCTCCTTCAGCACAAAAGCTCACGGATGCCTGTGCATAGAATTCAGCTGTGAAAGCTCTGGATGCTGCAGCTGGACAGATGTGTGGTCCCTCATCTGCAGAGGTGGAGTTAGCAGGGGCTGCAGCCCCCAGAGGCCCCACAGGGCAGCAGTGAGGGTGGGCAGGTACCTGCTGCATCACCCTCTGCTGCCCGGCCCCGCTCCCTCCGGAGCAGGGCTGAGGCTCTGAGGTCTCCCCCGGGCAGACCCTCCCCTGTGGGTCCCTGCCCTCCTCCCAACACCCACGGAACATGCCTGCTGGCACCTGGCACTGTCCTGCCACCACCTCACACCTTCCACATCCAGTCCCTGAGGAGCTTCTCCAGCCAGAGCCCAAGTTCTTCTGTGCTGCTTTGTGCTGGTTCACACCCCCTGCCCCCTCACTGAGTGCTGTGGGTAAACCCCAGCTTCCTTTCAATCACAGAATCATAGAATCACAGAACTATTCAGGTTGGAAAAGCCCCTTGGGACCACCCAGTCCAACCATCATCCCTGCTCTACAAAGTTCTCCCCTAAACCACATCCACCAACACCACATCCAAACGACCCTTAAACACATCCAGGGATGGTGACTCCACCACCTCCCTGGGCAGCCTGTCCCAGTGTCTGATCACTCCTTCTGTGAACATTTTTTTCCTAATGTGCAGTCTAAACTTGCCCTGTTGCAGCTTGAAGCCTTTCCCTCTTGTTCCACCACTAATCACCTGTGAGAAGAGACCAGCACCAACCTCTCTACAATGACCTTTCAGGTAGTTGTAGAGACTGATGAGCTCTCCCCTCAGCCTCCTCTTCCCCAGACTAAACACTCCCAGAACATTTCCTGTGTTCCTTTGAGGAACACAGACACCAAACTCAGAGCAGCTCAGCCTATTCATGAATCATGAGAGATTTTCTACTTCATGCACCAGCCTGTAAAGCTGAACAGAGCTTGTACCACAGGGCAGTTACTCAGTATTTTCAATACATGCACCCAGACATTATATTTTCTTGTTTTTCTATTGTGCTTCTATGCATGTGAGCATGAAGGCACCATCTGTTATTGACATATAGGACCCCATAAACATGCAGATTGATTCTTCTGGCTTACATAGGATGATAATTTAGCTTTGCTTGCATTAAACAGGAACAAGGTGATTTAATCCCCACACTAACACAGTGAAAACCCTTCAGGCTTCTGCAGGTAAGCCAGGATGCTTTACACCACATCACCTGTAATGGTGTGTCTGATGTTGGAAGTCCAAATCTGGACTCACCATCCTGCTTCCATCCCAGCCCCAGCGTGGTGTTCCAGCTGGAGCCAGAGGCAGGGAACCCCTCAGCACTCACCACCCATGGCCCCAAAACCCTGCCCCCTCCCAGCCACCCCTCTTCCCACCCACTCCCCAGGGCCTCAGGGGCTGCACTGCAGTGATGATCTGCTCTTCTCAGGCAGCACCATCAGTGCAAACACCACTTGTGACACCTGGAAATGCTACTGTGGAAAATTTGCCATTGAATGCCTTTCCTACCAGGCTGAGATGAAGGAGGGAGCTCATATTTGCAGGCAATCTGTTCACCTGGAAAGGGCTGCTTTGCTCCAGGACAGTCAAACCCCTCCAGATGGGATGGGAAGGGGCTGGTGGCTGGTGCCAGTGCCCGTGTGCTCACACACACACACACTGCTCCACGGCTCTGCCACGGGAGCCTGGCTCCCAAGGAGCACAGCAGAGCTCCAGAGAGCAAAGCCAAGCTACCTGCATCACGGAGAGAGCAGCTCTGACATCTGCCTTCAGACAAACCCCCGAGCTGACAGCAGAGGGAAATGCTCCGTTTGATCCGCTAATTGACGCTGACTGGCGAGTCAAGGAGCTGTGTTAACTCTCCAGTTTGCTTCCCAGCCAACCTTCTCTGATTAACGCTTGTTTCTTGGCTCAAGCCAAGACGAGGCTTTCAGGATCAAACACTTCTCATCTCGGGGCTGTGCAGCCAGGACTGGGAGGCACCGCGCGGGAGCAGCAGAACCGCCCGGAGTGGAAACCCAAACCCAAACCCCTCACATCTGGGAGCAGAGGCTCCTCCAAGGGCTCGTTCTCTGGGCTGAGTTTGTGCCCCCTGGGAAGAGCCACCAGAACCAACGCAGGCAGCAGGGCTGTGGTGCCCCCATGAGACATTTCTCACTGTATTCCCGGGGAAAACGTAAATACTTTGTTCCCAGCTCACTGACAGCTCTTAAATACCGCAGGGATGTTTCATTAAACTTTCTGCTGTGGCAGTTTGGTGGCAGCAAAGAATGTCACGTGTTTTTGTGCACTCCCCTGAAACACCAGTTGTACAAAGGCAACCACCACTTCACTGCAAAAAAAAAAAGACTCTCAAGAACCAAGCCCTCCCTGCGTGGCTAAATGTCCTCCCATGCATCCTCACATTTCCAAAAGCGAGAAAAGCCACCACAGCTACACCCAGCAGACGCTTCAGTCACGGTCCCTTCTCGTCTATTTCCAGCACTCACATTTCCACTGATGCAGCAGCAAACAGAGCCAGCACCGAGCTGTGTCCTGTCCCTCCCTCACAAGCACCGGGGGATAACCACGTTCAGCACCACCAAGCACCTTCCCCCTCCTGCCCAGCCAGGAACACAGAGGACTTTCCCCTTTTGTCCCAGTGAAAACAACAAGAGGAGGTTGTGGAAATTCCCCCTTCCATTGCCTGTGTGTTTCTGAAGTAAGGACTCCATTTCACCATGTTCTGCTGCTTTTGGTGCCAAGGGGCCCAGGGAGCATCCCCTCCCTGTGCTGGCGGGAACACCAGCAGCATCTCATTCCCATGGGACTCGGGAATGCTCCTCTTTAGCACCAGCTCTGAATCCTGGCAAGGCTGGGAAGAGGCTTTGAAATGCCGCAGTGGGAGCGCTGAGCGCAGGATGTGTCATTTGTAGATAGAAACACTATTTTGAGATACAGAACATTTAGATATTTTAAATATTAACTATTAAAAGCAAACAGTTTTTAAGTTCCTACACAAACATGTATTTATAGCACTGTTTGACACTGGGGGGCTGAGAGGAGGCTCAGCCCCAAGCAATAACCATATTGCCTGCCTTTATCCACCACAACCCAAAGGAATTCAGACTGCATTTGAGTCCTGCCCAGCCCACTGAGAGCTCAGGACACTGGGCACTGTCGAGCTTCACTGCAAATTATCATAATGCAAATCCTGCCCTGACTGAAGAGGAACACAAACCAGCACTGGATTCAGCTGTCCCTGAGGGGCCACTCATCAGAGCACTATGGAAACCTCTGCAGGCTGAAGGCCTTGTGCCTGATCTTAGGAAAATTACTTAGAAATCACATTCATTTTCTCTAGGCATCCTTCTTCTTTTCAGGCACAGATACATAAACCTCCCCAGTCATCACAAAGTGGGACAAGGGTCTCTGAGCAGATGCTCTCAGGTCCCACATCCCAGCCAACGCTCCTGTCACCTCCTGACCCTCACCTGACCAAAGCCTAGCCAGCTCCCAGCTCTCACCTGTGCTCCTGGGCAGCACAGTGTGAGGGCACAGGAAGGGTTGAGACATTATTTCTCATTGGTTTGAGTACACATATGTGTGAAGTAGCACAGGCTGTGGTTCTAGCAGCAGCACCAGAGCAGGATGGAGCTTTCGCAGATGCCCCTGGCACAGGGAGCGCCTGCAGGGATCAGGCTGAGGGGGGCAGAGAGAAGTTGGGCCCCATGTGTGGAATGCCAGAGATGCATGGACAGCATGGCCACCTCTCCCCTCCCAGATGGGACAAGCAGCTCTTACCCCTTTGCAGATTGCCACGGCCTCCTTAGACATGGACTTGGGGTAGGCTACGTTGTGCTCCATGATGGACTGGAAGAGCTCATCTTCATCTTCCCCCTCAAAGGGAGCCTGGAGCAAAGCAGACAGATGTTCAGTGGCATGCACTTCCCTTTGCTGCTGAGATCCTCAGGCACTGAACCAGCCCTGCACTGACTTGTGCCCCAGCATCCCTGTCCCTGGAGATGCATCCAGGGCTTCATCTCCAGTGCTGAGGAGCTGCCCCTGCTGTGCAGCCACAGAACAAATCTCACCTCAGCACATGCTCACAGGGGAATTTAACACAATCCCACAGGAATCAATTAAAATTCAATTACCTGGCCAGCTAACATTTCATAGAGCAGGACTCCAAATGCCCACCAATCCACGGACTTCCCATAGGGCTGATATGCAATTATCTGGAAACAAACAGCAGGATTACACTCTTGTTTTTAACCTGTTGGCACCATGCAAACTCATTTCAAGCTGTAGTTGGGTCAGAAGGATGAGGTTATTTACTGAGACACCAGCTCCTGAACGGTGGGAAACTGCAGTTGTAAACAGAACACAACAGGCAAAGGGTTCAGCAGTTTGATTTCAGCCCTCAAATGTGCACTAAGTATTTGAAAAAAACCCCAGAATATTGACTGTGATTTGACACAGATTCACTCTGATTTAGACAAGACTTTGGCATATTTGTTGTGCACTTGCAGTCTTGTCCCATCCAGGTGTGCTGGAGCATGAGCACCAGCTGTGCTTCCTTACCCAGATGCTGCCTGGGATTTTTCTCCCTGCTGACTTCAGAGCAGTAGGTCTGAAAAGCCAAGGCAGAGCTTGTCCCTCCACGGATGGTTTGTGGCCCTTCAGCACAGACCCACAGCACACGGGCAGTCAAACCCCTCTGCACTCCAGTTTGATTTCCAGGATTTATTGCAGAACATCCCTCACAAAATAACCTGATACACGACGGCCCTGCCCTGCCCTGAGCAGTGTGGTGGGTTTGGAGTCAGGATGTAACCTGGGGCTTGTTTTGCTCCCCCAGGCACCTCCGTGTGTTGAAGGGTCTGTCAGGCTCTGCTGTGGCTGCTGGGATGTGCTGCTGGGCACCAGGGCAGCACTGGGGCTTTGACAGCAGGTACTGCACACACAGCCATGCAACCTATTCATCCTAACGATGGAATTCTACTCAGCAAAGATTCCTACACTTGAGTGCAAATGCAAATGGTGTGGTAACCACTGGAGAAGGCACATGGCCTCCCTGTCCCTGGGGTCTGCTGCTGCCCCTGCTCCCAGCACAGCTCCAGCCACCTCCAGAGTCCTCCTGTTCAGCTGCCCCATTCCTGCAAAAAGCCCCCCCAGTGTGCAATGGGATGTGAGCTGGAGGCACATCAAGATGCAGCTCAGCTGCCTGAGCAGAGACAAGTTTCACCCTGCAAAAGCATCAGCACTGAGGCATGACAGAGAACAAGGCCAACACTGATCTCTTCTGTTCTGCTCCTGGTCCAGCCGTGTCCAAACCTGACCCTGACAGTGTCTCGTGCTCAGGCCTGGCCCTTTCCACTGAGATAAAACATTGAGCTTCAGCTCTAAAATTCCTTGACCAAATGCACTCGAGTTTCCTCCCGCTTCTTCGTAAGGTGATTTATGAGTGCTCTGGGAAATGCAGGTGTGAACTCTTCACACCATCAAGGCCTTTAAAGGAAAGCAGTACTCAGAAGAAATCCTTGTAGAAAAGCTGTCTCTGTGAACTGAAGTCACGGACTGCACGTCAGGGAAGGTCAAAACCCAGTGGCTGAAGAACAGGTTTTGTTCAGAGGCAATGACACACGTGGGGCCATTTGCACTCCGTGGCTGTCACCTTGGCAGGCAGAGCTGTGCCTTGGAACAGAAAAAGCCCTTAAAATGGGTCAAGCAAATCGCAGGACTTGTTTACCCTGGAGACACGTTGGTTTGAGAACACAGCAGCTTCCTGATGGGGGGAGGCACAGTCCAGCAGAAGGGCCCTGAAGCAGAGACCCCCACAGGGAGCCCAGCTGGAACCCCCCAGACCCACACACCCCCTTGGCTGGGTACCAAGTCGGGATGTTTGTAGTCCCTCTTTGCAGACCCACTGCTAGCAGGCTGCAGGGCCATTCCTGGGTAGTGATTTGCAGCCTAGTTTCCCATTTTCTCTTTTTCTTTTGGAACAACAACAAAAAAATAAATTAAAAAGAAAATAGAGCAAGGAGAAGAAAATAAGAATTTAAGTGATAATGCTCAGGCAAATACCAAAAGAGCTGGTCCTCTGTCCTCCTTTGAAAGAGTATTAATCACACACAGCAACTGAGCTCTGTACCAACAGAACACCAATATTCATCTTGATAGGATGAGGATGTGTAATACACATTGGAATGAGTAATTAAAAACCTCTCTGTCTGCAGCAAAACACAGCATAATTTAGCACACAAGCACATCTAACCATGGCCTAGCAAAGAGGACCTCTTTCTCTAAAATATTTAAACAAATAAATATTAATCTCATCATTGAAAATTCAGAAGGGTGAGATTTTAGAGGGATACTTTTATGTTAAGGGAATAGGCCTTTGGGAATAATTACCTACCTGAATTTCACAAGTCTGACATTAAATTGCACCCATCTAGCACTTCATGTAAGTGTCATATGTGACTCTATCACATAAATAATAACCAAAGGCAAAGCAATTTTGGAGTGATGTAGAGCTGTAGATAGGGAGCCTCTCCTCACCAGGTGCCCTGCACTGCAAGCAGCCAGCTGGAGAGATCTAAAGCTTTCCACTTCACATGGAAATATTACCCACTGCTAATTCATTTTTCTCCACTGGTCACGTTGTGCTGGAAGTGGCTGTCACAGCAGCGAGGGGCAAAGCTAAGCTCCTGGGCTCATCTTTTCCAGGAGCAAGGAAGTGTTTGAGGAGCAGCCCTGGGTGGGCTGGAGGGCGCCAAGGACAGGACAGGCATGGGAATGCCAGCGGCACGGAGGTGGGAAAAACACCCAGGGAAAAACTGCAGGGAGACCAGCAGGGAGGATTTTCTGCACTTGAGGCAGAAGCAGGGCACACGGCCAGGGAGGGACACCCAGCATTGCTGTGTCCTTAAAGGCAGCTGAAGCCTTTGGGGGACGGGCAGAGCTGAAGGGATGAACCTTCCAGGCTGACGGTGAATTCGCCGGTGTCCCTGTTTGCCTCAGAAAGCTGCTCACAGCAAGGTCACCCCACGGAAAAGAGCATCAGGCCTGCTGCTGAAATACACCTGGAGCATCCTCAGCCCCTGGGCAGCCCCACCTCAGGTGCAATGTAGTCGGGAGTGCCACAGAAGGTCTTGGTGGTCACCCCGTCCCAGATGTTCTCCTTGCACATGCCGAAGTCCGCGATCTTGATGTGCCCCTCGCTGTCCAGCATCACGTTGTCCAGCTTCAGGTCTCTGCAGAAAGAAAGCAAAACCACACGTGAAGTTACCCAGCAAAGACACGTTTCCTGACTCCAGGGACTCTGGAGAGCGGGCTCTGGCTTCGTCCCACAGCCAGGCTCCTCACAGGATGGTTGGGGAAACGAACAAAATGAAGCCAGAGGTCTGTCAGGGTGCAGTGCTTGGCTCACTTTTAACCCACCTTGCTGGACAAATCACTTTTAGCTGTACATCAGAAAACACTCTGCTCTAGCAAGGACACAGATTTAACAGATGATTTTTGTGCCTGTGCAAATCCAAGGGTGCTTCAATCTCCCCAGCAATGAAGAAGCACCGACCCAGCACAGGTTCCTGCAGCAGAGGTGCTGGTTCCTCCAGCACCTAAGCTATGATCCCCATGGAAATACACATGAACCATGACTCTGATCCCCAGCCACAGGTAATGGCATCTGGCACTCATTGGGGTGCTCTGCTCTACCTGGGGCTCTGGGGATACTCCTGAGCAGGGAAGAGCAGTGGGACACTCATTCCAGTGCTGAAGCAACAGCCTCAGAGCCTGGTCCAGCGGGTGGCAGTGACCAGGCTGCTGCTGGATGCTGAGATCATGTTGTGAATGGAAAAGAAGTGTTTGTGTCTGAACCAGAAGCGACAGACTCGCTCTGCTGATCCCGGGAGGAGCTGCCCAGGAGCACTCTGGTGTTAGTGGTGAGCAGACAGTGCCCTGCAGCAAAACACGTGGCTCAGAACTGGTCTGTGCTGCCAGGGAGCGTTTGTGTCATATGGAGAGAAACGCATGAAACAGGTGAGAGAGGAACCATAACTACTTTCTTAGAAAATGGGGACAAAGACAAGAACCTTCTCCAAACCCAGCTGGGGCTCCCAGCTCCCTGTGGGCTGTGTGTCCAAGGGGCAGCTGCCAGCCTGGCCATGGCAGCAGCAGAGACCTCCAGCCTGTCCCTGCAGGGCAGATCCAGAGTGACCTGCTGAGCGTCACATTGTCACACTGCTCCACATGGGGCTGGGGCTCCTGGGGGACACAGGGAAGGAGGAACTCGCTCACCTACCGATAAATGATGCCTTTGCTCTGCAGGAAGAAGAGGCCAATGGCTATTTCTGCTGCATAGAATCTGAAACAGAAGATTTAAAAGGAAGGCGGATAATTAAAGGAGACGAATCAAAATGGAAACCTTTCAAATCCAGTCACACCAAAAGAAATGCTCTGGGCTTACATGACCACAGGAAAAAAACAGCCAGAGCATAACCATACCAGACAGGGATCACAGGAGCATGACACAACCCACCCTGTGCCTGGGCAGGGATGTGATGGGGTCTCTGCAGGCTGGCAGGGGCTGTCACTGCTCGTTACCCAAGTTCTCGTTAAGCAAGAGCTGGGATGTGTGGCTGTTGGTTCCTGTGTGCCTGAAACATGGCCTGAGAATTATCTGTCACCTCGGGGAGGCCGAGGAGATAACATGCACCACCACCACTTTTCCTTGAAGAACATTCTGGGTCTCACAGGACTCGGCCAGAATGCAAAACATCAGGTCAGACCCACTCATGCTCAGTCTCCCAGGAAGCCTCCAAACCTCCCTGCCTGGTGCTTTTTAATTTACCTACCAACAAGAGCAATGTACCCCAAAGATGAGCTGGAGGCACCAGCATCCTCAGCACCAAGCAGAGAATCCTCCCACACCTTCCATTTCCTGCTGGTGTGGCTTTCCCCTCTCTTTCTGCCCAGGGCTTGCATCACAAAAGCTTGTGGCTTGGACTCTATTTCCAGCTATATGACATGGATATATATCAAATATCTACCCTGAAAGTGCCAAACAAAGGCTGCTGAACTTACACAGCATGTGGCTCTTTAAACCTCCCAACCTGCTGGATCTGGTACATTAAGTCCCCACCATTCACATATTCCATCACAAAATACAAGCGATCCTAAAGAGAAAAAGAGCAGACTTATTAGAACAGGGAATCTGCAGGGATCAGAAATAAGGACCAAGGCAACCAGTAGCTCCAGTCTGTATTTTCTGGGGCAATACATTTACCATCATTACCCTCCCCAAGGGGCACAGGTGGAGCTCATACTCACATGTCCATATGAACACATATGCCCATATTCATATGTCCATACAACAGATGTACCAGGTTGTGCAACATTGCAAAACCACCAACCTAAACCATTGCCAGACATTTCTCTGGGAGGGAGAAGCAACTGCTCTGAACCACCAGAGTGGGACACAACCTGCATCTGAGTGGGTCTTCCCTACCAGCAGACACCTGTGCTCTGACCTCTGCGTGTGCCAGTCACGGATGAGAACAGCAAAGGGAGGTGTAAAACCAGGCTTGACACTCTTCTTACAACAAGCAACTTCCTACAGCCTCCAAAAACCAGCCATGAGGCCTTGATGTGCAGAAGCCCAAAGATACCCCCAGGTTTCCCCCAGCCCTGGGCCACGCAAGGGAAGACACTGAGGCTGGAGCACTGCCAGAGCTGCCAGCTCATAATATTGCCCATTCTTCATTTCCTCCTTAGATAAACCTTGCTCTCCTTTTAAGACAGTCAGGAGAAGGAGCCCCTAAGGTATGCAAATGTGAGCATCACCCTAATAAGGGCTATGGAGGGGTAATCAGCTCCTCCAGCCCAGTGGTGCACAGCACACCCTGACAGCAGGCTGGCCTCAAAGGGGACTGATTCCAGCACCCACTGGCAATCAGGCTCCATAAAAGACATGGCAAAGGTTTTGGCTTATCAGATGACTGGGAATTTTGGAGCATTGGCTGCCTCTGCCAAGGTGTCCCTCCAGCTGGGCAGCAGGGCCTGGGGCAGGCAGTGTCACCTTCAGCAGCCACTGCCACCCTGGCCACCCTGTGACAGTGGCAGGAAAGCACAGCAACACTGTACTGGTTTGCAGCTGCTGCCTAAATATATTTATCAGTTTCAAGAAGGAAGAATATTAAAAAGATAGTCTCTTGAAACAGCCAGCTGAGCTCTAAAAGCAGGATTTGAGCTTTCCTCATTTGGGTGGAGAAGAGAACACTGGTGCTTCAGAGAAAAAAACCCTGAATAAAGGCAGCAGATGGCTGGCCAGGCTCCAGGCTGGGGAGGGATGGGGATGCAGAGCTCTCCTGGCTCTTCTCTATGGCAGGAATGGATGGAGTCTGTCCAAGCCTGGAGCATCCCAACTCACTGAGCACAGCAAGGTACAGATCCGTAAATACCCCTGTGGAGACTGGCATGGGGCTGGTAAAACATCCCCCCTTCCTTGGGCAGCTAAGGGGTCCTTCCAGTGCTCCTCTCCTAATGCACCCTTGCTGGGTTCTCCTCCTGCCTGGCTCCCCACCACCAACCAGAGAACAAAAGTCCAAGTCAGGACAGAGGCCAAGTCCCCTGTCCACCTGTTACGGATCAAGTTCCAGTGCTGCTGCTGTGCCCTTCACTGCTGTGCCCTTCACTGCTGTGCCCTTCACTGCTGTGCCCTTCACTGCTGTGCCCTTCACTGCTGTGCCCTTCACTGCTGTGCCCTTCACTGCTGTGCCCTTCACTGCTGTGCCCTTCACTGCTGTGCCCTTCACTGCTGAGCCCCAGCAGGATGGGAGATCATCAGTGCAGGCACAGCTCACCCGGGGACACCCAGTAACACCAAACTCACCCCCCTGCCAGGAGCCCAGCCTCTGACCAAGGACCTCTCTGGGGCAGAGCACCCCAAGATCCACCAGCTGGAGCAGGACCTCTTGTCCATCAGCCCCAGGCAGGAGCTCCCTCCTTGCTCATCCTCACGTTCTCCACAAACCGCAGACTTTGGGCTTTGCTCTGTCCCTCCAGTCACTGAACCAGCAGCCCCAGCTGGGCACGGTGCTCTGGACTGTGCTCCCAGGAATCCAAGTGCTTTGTGCCAGCACTTGATAATACACCCTGCTATACATTTTGATTACATTACAAATACGATTACTATTAAGCTACTATAGGTCTGCCAGGAATAATCCCGCGCTGACTCACTTCAGATGCCGGAGATGCCGTGTGGAATAGCTTCTCCTGCCACATTTTGATTACTGTGCTGCAAAGCCAGTCCACAGGCTTTAAATACACTCAATGTGTTTGGTAAATGAAATTTCTGGGATAATATTAAAATGTAATCCTCCTGGATGGACCCTGCTGAGTCCCTCTCCCCGCTCCCGCTGACATGTACCTGGACATTTTCATGCAGAGGTTGCTGGATGCTGGGGCAGAGATTGCTTTAAAGGCCCCGTCCCCCTCCCCCGATTTGGATTTGCACAAACTGAATTTACTGTGTTTTTGGTTAGGTTTCACCCTAAGGTTTTTGATCACAAGGATGAAGCCTGAGAAAAAGTGCAGCACTTTGCTGTCAGATCCTAAGGGACATGGTGGGGCAGGGGGCACCGAGGGGTGGGGAAATCATGTCCAAGGCCACCAACAGCTCCCTGGTGAAAAACCTCAGGGCTGTAGATACTGTATGTGACCACCTCCAGTTTCACACACACATGGTCTGGTCATGGGGGTACTTGTGCAAGCAAATGTGACAAGTTGTGAGGATGCCAAGGCAGGACAAAACAGGGCTCCTTTTGCACGTGTAGTGATGTCTATCCAGAAAAGAAACATGAATAAAAGCCAAGGTATGTTTTAGAGAAGCTAAAATAGGTGACCAGGGCACCCTGCAGCCCTCCAAAGGGCACCAGCACTTACCATTGTCTGGAAGCAGGAGTGGAGCTGGGTCAGGAATGGAGGCTTCCCAGAGAGGGCCAGGACACGTTTCTCAACCATGGTGCATTCTACATCATCGTCCTGGATAACCACGTCCTTCTTCAAGATCTTGACAGCGTAGAGCTCGTCCGTGCCCTTCCTCTCTGCCAGCATCACCTGCACCAGGGAGACACAGCAGGATAAAGGAAAACAGGGATCTGCAATGCTTCTAGCTTGGCATGGGCAAAAGTTAAAAATAACAGCTTGCTTATAGTCCTGTGGTTCCCTTGTAACTCTGAAGAGAGATTCAGATGCCACATGACACAGAAAGCTACCAGTGGTATTACCCACAAGTAATGGATCTACTTCCTCACCACCTCATCACCTTGAGGAACCCAGTCCAAGGCTGATGTCTGAGCCTCAGAAGAATCCATCCAACCTCCCATTTGAAACCAGATTATTTTCGGACTATTTATTACAAGAATTGGAATGTGCTGCTGCTGGTGGTGCCCATTTCCCACATTAATCCCACCAGCCCCAGTGAGGATCCCTGAACCGTTCCACCACGTTCCACCAGGGTAAACTGCTCCTCAGGCTGCTGGCAAAATAAACAGGCTGAAACCACACTTTGCCTCCCATTTTCCCTCCTTGCACTCTCTCATCACTTTACATCCGAGCACTCAGTGGAAATAAATTGCTTTCCATTTGAAAGAGTCTGCAGAAATCCTCCAGTCACATCAGGAGCAGGAGTTCGGATGGTTTGGAAATAAATTACAAGAAGTCAACATCAATAGGGTGGAACTGAAATGCACTTCAGACTCTAACAGACTGGCAGAGGAAATGCAAGCGGGTCTCACAGAAGACTTCTGAGACACGAAGGGCAGCAGAATTAACCCTCCTGTCAGCCCCAGGCAGATGACATGGGGCTGGAACTCCCCACTGCAACATTCTCAGCTGCCCCCAGAGCCTTGAGCCCCCTGGGGCAGTGGGGCAGAGCCTGGACCAGGGCTCAGCAGCCCCTTGAAGGGTTGGGGACAGGGCAGAGTGGTGTGCCAGCCCCGGGGCAGCAAGGCAGGGGACAAGCCTGAGGATGGGGAACAAGGCAAGGGACACAGCCCAAGGACAGGGGCAGGGATGGCACTTTTGACCATAGTTGCTGTGGCTGGTCCCTGTGCTGGGCTGCAGTGCTGGACAGCCCAGCTGTCCCTGACACTGCTGGTTGGGATGAGCTGGGAAAGTGCTGAGTGGTGTGGAGATCCACTGACACCGACATTTTCATCAGCAGGGCCTGGGCTTCAGCAAAAGCCAGTAAAGAAAAAGATTGTGACCCTCTGCACACACAGAGATTCAGCCCTGGGCACGTACCCAGTAGCCTGGTAAGGCCTGACCAGAGCAGGGCACAACACACATGGTGCTGGAGGAGGCAGTGGGCACCCAAACCTCCCTGTGTGTCCAGGAGCCTCTGCACAACTCGGCAAGTCTGAGACCACATCTCTGCTCCAGTGCTCCACACTACCAGCCCTTCAGCCACGTTTCACACCCAGAGCATTTTACAGCTTGAAGATAATCACAGGCCATGGAAATGGGCTCCCACTGCACCCTCACCCAGAGCTGCACAGCCAAAAGAACCAGCCCCGCTCAGAAAAACACCACAAAACCCCCAGAAAAGACTGGCAGCTTGATAGCACAGCAGATTGATCAGCTGCAAAAATACGAGCAAGCCACGTAACTTCACTTCCCTCTATTTATATTGCAGAGAAGCACACCCAGGGCTGTGCCAAGCGCCGCCTGCTCCAGCCAGGAACGTCTCCCTCCCCTGCCAGCCCAGCCCTGGCTCTGGTGCAGCTCCCGGAGCTCCCATGTACCCAGGCCAGGCTGGGTGGCAGTGGGGGCAGCCCAGGAGACCCGAAAGCACCAAGGAGGACCAAGGGTGACCCTGTGTCCTTGGGCTGGATATGCTGAGCTGGGATCACACACACCCAAGTCCCTGCCCTGACTTATTTCCCAAACCAGAGCCATTCTCCATCCCTCCGTGAGGACCTCCAGCTGCCAGCTCACTCTCTGCAAAGTAAACTGCATAATTATTATTTAATTTTTTTGCATAAAAAAGCCAGCATTTAACTTCATTTATTCCTGCAATATAGAGTATTTCTTTGGGAATGCTCCAGCACAGTAACTGGAGATACCTTGATGCTGAATGGAGAGAAAGCAAGTTCATTAAACTCCACCGAGGTACTGATCCTGGACAGCTGGAGTGGTGAGCAGCAAACCTGAGCTACTGGTGCCAAAGGGTCAATGAGATTCACTAAAACATGGACCTGGGTGGAGGAGGCTGCAGCACAGGCCAAGCAGGCAGTGCCAGCCCTGGAGAAGGACATTGCTGCCACCAGCACAGCAAGGGCAGGACGCTGCCAGAGCTGGGGAGAGGGGCTCCCCACCAGCCCAGCACCCTCACAGCACAGATCCACACTCCTCTGCTCCTCTGAGACACGTGGCACCTCGGGCACAGCACGGATCCACGCTCCTCTGTCCTTCTGAAACACCCAGCACCCCGTGCCAGCGCAGAGCGGGCACCGCCGTGATGCTCCCGCGCCGCGGGACGGGCAGGGGGATGTTGGTGAGAGGGGCTGTGCAAGGCACAGGCACACGTGAGGGTGAGGCTGCATCGCACCAGAGAAACCAACGTGCTGTTTTAATAAGCCCTAATTAGCATATTTATAACATTCTGTTCCAGGGAACAGTTTCTGTCACACATTCCCTTATATAAGCCGCGATGCCGACTGAAGAGTTTGCTAATGTTTCTCAAATTAAAGGAAAGAAGGGGGGGACGAAAACCACAACTACACAGGTTCCAGATGCCAGGCACAGACTTCAGAAGGGATTAATTAGCTGTTGGGAGGGAGAGAAAAAGGGGCAAAATCAATGCGGAGACCAGGATGTGTATATGTGAGTGAGTGACAGCATCTCAGGCTGTCCTGCTCCCTGAGCTGTCAACCCCCAGCAAAGAGGGAAACCATCAAGCACTGGCAGCCCCCTCCCCACAGCACCACTGCCAGGGCACCACGGCCTGATGCCAGGGACCAGCAGGGACTCCCTGTTCTCCTCCTGTTCAGATGTTTCAGTGGATCTCTAAGCTCTTCACCTCCAGAAAGGAAATAAACATCCATACCCAGAGAGGCTGGGACTGCCCTGAGCTCTAATACTAGTGATAAAGGGCTGGAGGAGGGACAAGGGACCAGCTGGGAGAGGTGGGTTTGCCCCTTGGCTCTGCAGGTGATGGGTGAGCACTTCTTTCCTGGCATCCCCTGCTTGCCTCTGCCACCGACCTGAGAGCTGTGCCCGAAAGCAGAGCAATAGTCTCTGCAATTAAGGCAAGTCATTAATCAGACTGGCATCAAGCCATCACCAACAGCAGCAACACCCAGAGCAGCCCAACCTCCTGCCTGAGAAGCCTGAGCAGCCACCCGAAGACTGGCATTTCCAATGGAAATCATGACAAAGATGGCAAGACCCCAAGAAAATGAAGGCTCCAAGTCACATAATTACTAGAAGAATGAAATTCTGTTACCACTCCTAGCTGGTCTGGAAAGTTAATTAAAATGCTCATGTATATTTGCAATTATCAGAGAAAAAAAAAGGCCAAATAAAATAAGAGCTTTAAAGACACATCCTGCTTCCCAAAAATGTGTCTGATTTTTGTGACCCCTCAGGTCTTTACCACTGTGACACAGCAGTCTCACAGTCCCCAGGGGAGACAACAAACTGGGCTCCCATTACTGTGACACCAGTGCTCCCAGCAGGGCAAGGACAGGTCATGCTGGAGTGGCCACGTGGCCACAGCTCAGAGATGTCAGAAACACAAGTGTTAAACACAAAGTGCACAGGGACACTGAGTACCAGACCTTCCCAAAGCTTCCTTTTCCCAACACCATCAGGAAATTGAAATCCGAAAGTTTCATCCGATCTCTGCTCCCATTGTTGTCGAATTTGGAAATGGCATTTGTTGTCTTCTCATCTGCAGCCTTGGACCCGGTTCCAATCTTGGCTCTCTGCAAAGATGGAGAGGGAATAGGGGGAAAAGAGAAACATTTCCTGAGAACAGTGTGGAGAAAGGTCATTATAAAAACAGGGAGTGCTCCTGAAATCCCTGCTCTTTTCCAGGTCAAACCCTACCCTGGAATCTTTTCCATAAGTGTGACAGGGACAGCACCAAGGAGGGCACTGGGGACATTACCAGCCTCAACACATGGCACTGCTTGGCTGGTTCCCAGTTGATCCATGTGAGAACAACTGGGAACCACATCTGCCCATGACCCCTGTCCCCGCAGCCAGTGGGACACAGCAGCCAGCACTGGGTCATCCCAAGTATAGGACAGAGCCTTAAACAAGCTTATTTTTCCTCCAAGCTGGCACCTGTCTCACCTCAGCAGAAAAGGATGGCTGGATATAAAGATGTTAAGGTAAAACACAGGACTTTTCATCCAGCTTCACCTCGGTCACTGATCCTGGAGGGAATCCCAGTCCTGTGCAGGCTCAGGCTGTGCCTGGAGCTGCAGACCCAGCACCGTGTGCTCCTCCTGCCTCCCCCACCCTCTCCAGCTGCTGCAACCACAATTGCTCATTAGGGAGCATCACAACCCCCCCCCCATTTTAAAACACAATCTCAGCACCTCCTCCTTGGCCATGGGGCTCTCTAATGTGCTGAACCACCGTTGGCAAAAGCTCTCTCACAATTTATTCCATTTGATTTTTTAGAAATCTGCGACAGTGTAAGGTCTGCACTGAGCTCAGCCGAGCATGAAATTCCATTAACCCGATTCCAGCAGTTCAATTTGCCTGCTGCTCACAGCTCCTCCAGATAGGAGCCTCACAAGTAATCTCCAAACCTCTGCTGCTGCTAATTGGTTCTTGCAAGGTTCTCCGTGCTGCAGAATTCTCCATTCAAGGTCACCTGCAGCACCTACAAACACTGGAAAAACTCCTGCACCGAACATTGAAGGAAGGGCCTCCTGCCTTTGGTGCTCTCCCCACCATGAGGAGCTCCACCAGCCACCCTGTGGCACACCAAGGGTGAAACAACAGCTGTACCACACTGCTCAGTGTAACAACCTTCCAAACCCTACTCAAGTAAAAAACAAGATCATCTCCAGTTGAAGGTGCCTCAGGCACTCAACACTTGACCCTTTGCCATCCGTGAAGCAAAAGCCTTTAGCTGAAGGCTGCTCACTGCACTTGGCCAAACAGGGATCCAAAGGCAGGCAGCTGAACCAGAGCAGCCTCCAGGAAGCAGCTCTATGTTGTGCAACTGCCTTCAACAGTCCTCACCCCTTGTATCTCAGAGCCATCTTCAAAAGAAAGATGTACTTATCAGCAGGCAAAATAGTCATATTCTGTGAAAGCCTCTCAAATACCCCATCAGGGCTGAAAAACAATCCTGTCAGATCAGATTTAACACTAAAATAACCTCTGTGAAAACGAGCTGTAATGAAACTCCCAGGCAATGTTGGGCTCCCATGACATGTCACCCCAGAGCACATCTCTGCACTTGAGATGAGCCCACGTCCTGCCCACCTGCAGCCCAGCAGCACCAGGGCTGCCCACGGGACTGCCTGAACCTTCCCAGCCTGAGCAGAGCGGGAAAGAGCAACGTGAGCAGGGGGGAAGGAAGAGGATTTTCCTTTGCTCCATCCCAGCAGGCACCCAGGTGAGCACCTGGCACCCAAATGTGACTCCAGGTCCCTCCTGCTGCCTGCAGCTGCTCCTGAGCCTGTGTCTGGAGAGGGGCTGCTTCAGCCACCACCAGCCTTGCACTTGACCTGCATCTGCAGCATCACAGGGTGTTGACAGGAGACAAGAGAAGAACACACCCCCCCCACCATTTCCCTGATAGAACGGGCTCAGCATGAGGCTTGCCCAGGAAGGGGAAAGTCTTTCCAGAAAAGAGCCTGAAAATAAGAGTCAGGGAGATGTCAGGATCATCCCCCTGACTGAAGTGCCTTGGTTTTGCTATCCAGTGTGTCCACCGTGTCTCTGGGTACAAAAGACTTTGAGCCTGTTTTTATTACACTCCTAACAATCAAACAATCTTGAGACCTCTTCAAAGTTTACAGCTGGAACGTGCCAAACAGTGCTCAGTACTTTTTTTTTTTTTTTAAAGCACTTGACCTTTGTTATCCAGCCCCATTTGTCACAGTTAATTCACTACATGTGAATGTGTGCAACAGCAGCTGATGCCCACACCTAGCAAGCTGTCCCAGCACGTGGCTGGGAAGGGCTGAGCAGGGCAGGAGGTGCAGTGCAGGGCTTCACGCTGGGCTTTTGGCTCAGGACACTTTCTTGTCAGGCCCAGGAGGTGCCCGAGGTGCCCAGGGGGCTGGAGCAGGGGATGGCACCAGGGGCCCCAGGAAGGGGCTTTGCTCCAGCCAGCAGCTGTGCCAGCACCCCTGTGTCTCCTCAGCACTGCCCAGGCTGGCACCTCAGCTCCTCCAGCACGGGCACAACTCAGCTGCACTCCAAGCACAAACCTGTCACACACGTCTTGACTTCGCTGTATTGATTTGTGCTGCTGAGGAGCTGGCAGGATCAAGCAGCACTAATGCAGACAGACAGGAGGGTTCTTTCTAGTCCTTGTCATGTGAAATACCATGACAGCACCCTGGCTGCTCCACCTCCAGCAGGTTCCATGGCTCAGCTGGCCAGGGAACCACGTGAGACTGAGAAAGAGAGGAGAAATAGGAACCAGCTCTCCAGATGCACCAGTATGGCTCATGTCTCCAGAGGTACCAGGTTCACTCTCAGGGCTGTGGGAAGATGTCAGCTCTACTGAAAGATGGCAAAGACCTATTAAATCATTCTGGCAAGACCTTTCATGGCTTATTAAGTAGCAAATTTGAACATAAAAGTCACTTATATGACTTTCTTCCTGTTAAATGCTATCTTGCCCTGGCACAGAGATCTCACCAGCTTCAGTTCACCTCTGTGCAGATCCTTGGTGACACCACCACATGCTGTGCCACCTCACAGGGCATCTAAGGGCTAAGAAAGGGTTTCTTTCTGAGATTAGCTCCAAATCCAATTATACTAATATCTTAATTGATCTTAATTAATTCTATTAATTCATACCCAGCAGTATGACAGAAAACACAGACAAACAAATCCTATTATATGGCACCTCAGAATGTGGGTAGAACTGCTGTCCCAGCAATGTGCTGGCACCAGGAGACATCCTGGGACAGCCAGGACTTTTGTCCCTCTTTCATCAGAAAATAGTGCTGAAAATACATTAAATGAAGTATCTCCTTATTTATCTACACTACACTCATTTTGGCAAACACAATCTTCTTCACAAACTCATTTTGGCAGCCCTAACAGAAAGACAAAGGGGGTGTGAAGCAAGGCAATGGAAAGGGGGATGTTCACTCTGCTGCTTTCTTGCAGTAAGGAACAACTTCCTAAAAATAATGGGATTTCAGACTCTTTCCTGGGTGGGGAGAGGGAGGAGTGATGGGCTGTACCCTGCTCCACATTCCCTGTGCTGCTGGGAAAGAGCTGGTGGGGAAAGCCTTTCCCAAGGGCATGTTGGGCAGCAAGGAGAACCCCCAAGACCCCAGGAAAAATCCTTTCACCTCAAATTTCTGCCTCAGTTCCTCGTTTCCTTCTTCTCCCTCGGGAGGCACCGGGACGTTGAAATACTCCCCTTCCTCCTGGCTCAGCAGCTTAAACCTGGAGGGGCACAGTAAGAACATGAGGTCAGGGTGGCAGGCAGGACACGGGGACAGCACGTGCTGCCCAGCCCTCCTAATTCTTCCTGCTCTCTGCTTCCAGTGAGCCCCGTGCAGCTTCCGTGGGGAACTGGCAGGGTTTGGAGCGTTTGCTCAACTGACAAAATGCAAATTAAGAGCTTGCAGGGCTTGGTTTCCACCAGACACACAATATCTGTTCCCAGTTATTACACCTGACACAGGAGGTAACGCAGCTCCCGGGCACCCCCGGCTGGGGGGGGGAAAGAAAGAAAAAAGAAAGAAAAAAGGAGACTGGGCAGCAGGTGTCCTGCTGGGGATGGAAATGGACATGGAGAGACCATCCAGTGGGGGTGTCACAGACCCACCCTGCAAACCCTCCCGGGGTAAGGAGGGATGCTGAGTGCCCACCTGGGTGTGTTCCCGGTGTGAGCCCTGCCCCCCAGGCTGGGGGGCTGTCCCTGCCACAGGGGCAGCACAAAGTGTCCCCAGCCCAGCCTGGCTCCCCTGCACGCCTGGCAAAGCCACGCTGCCCCCTCAGGATGGAAGCTAAGGGAATCCAACCAGAAAATGCTGGAAAATGCTTGTCCTGGCAGGTGACGGTGTCTCCTCCTGAAGCCTCTGCAGGGAAAGGCTGTGGGAGCACCAGGAGTGCTGGGCAGAGCAGCCAGGGCTGCCTGTGTCCCTGGCAGGGAAAGGTCCCAGAGCACCAAGCAACCCTGCAGGGGGCAGGAGGATACAGGGGAGGTGAGGCAAGGACAGCCCTGTCCCCAGGGCCACCCCACAGCCCTGCAGGGCACCATTCCCACCCATCAGAGAGGTGGAGCAGACCCTGACATGGGAGCCGGGCTGGCTGGGGGCCCTTGAGCAGGGGGATGCTGGCAAAGAACAAGGGCTGCCACACCTCCCATCGCACACAGAGGGACCAGCACTGCTTTGTGCACACAGCATCTGTAAAACAATGGCAAGTCTCACCATCCATCGACTCCTGACTTCTGCAGCTCCGAAATCCCAAAGGACAAGGAGCTCAAAAAAAGCTGGTCAGGTCCCAGTCCCAAATCTCCACTGACAACCGCCTGTCTTTGTCTGCCTCTTTCAGTTGGCTGGGAGAGAGGAAGGAAAAAGGGAAGGTTTTATTGTGGAAGCCACTGCTGCACCACCCTGCCCCTCCACACTCTGTAAGAACATGGATGCAAAACGAAGGGAAGGTCTTCAACGACCACTCAGCTCTCTAATATTTAATTTCCCAACCACATCCATTTCAAAGGGAGGACAGAGTCCCTGCCCTCAAACACTCAGCTTTGACCAGGGGTCAGGGCAGAGGTTTGAGCATTTCTGAGTCACACTTGCAGGACTGAAAATAATTATTTCTCAGTTCAATCAGCTTATTGTCTCTGAATAATTAAATCAGACCAAATAAATTCACACTAATTCTTAGGGGTGAGAAAAATGAGTTTCCAAGTTTAAACGTTTTTCTTGTACTTACAATTTAAATGTCTCATTCCACTCAGGATTCAGGGAGCACTTGATAGTTTTGGTCTTCTGTTTGCTTTCATTTTTGGGGTCAGGGATTAGTTTAAGCTTCACGTAGGGATCTGACAAGCCATTCGGATCCATAGGAACTAGGTTTTTAGCATCTCTTACTGGGGAAGAGGAATAGGAATAAAATCAGGTTTTAAATTATAAAAATACCCCAACAATTGACAACTTCCCTGTGTGCCAAGAGTAAGTGTGAAAGGAGTGATTAAAACCAGAATTAAAACTGAATACATGCAGACATGGACATTGCATGAGGAAAGACAAACATTTATCAGTGCAAAGCAAACACAGCTCTAAGGGACCAGGAATGCTGAGGGATCGACTCCAGAGACTATTTTCACTTCCTGATAGGATGATTTGCTGTTTGCTCTCAGTTTTAAACAGTTTAAAGCTGCTTTCTTTCCTCCTGCACCTTGGGAAGCAGAACTGTGCTGATCTGCATCTTTCTGTCATGAGCAGCAGGAGCACAGGGATGGTGCTTCCCAGGGATGGTGCTTCCCAGGGATGGTGCTTCCCAGGGATGGTGCTTCCCAGGGAGGGCAGGAATAGCCCCAGAACAGCCACAAACAGGGGACAGCAGTGCCAGAAAGCACCAGCACAATGGCTGAACTCTCCTCTGGGTCCCCTCGGGACCAGGGGAGGCCACCAGGAACCATGCAGGCTCAGCAGCATCACCCCAGCTCCAGGAGCTGAAGCATCTCCTGGGGGAGCAGGAGCCCAACAAAGAGCAGGGGAGGGGAGAACAAATCTGTGGGTGACCTGGACTTCTTGTAATTGGATGCAGCTTTGACAGATGAAATACAATCAGGGTGATCTCAGTCTATTTCCCTAGATTAAGTCAAAGAGGGTTTGTCTTCTGGGAGAAAGGTCTTATCTTCCCTCAGCCTGAGCAAAGGGATCAGAGATAAGGTCTGATGGGACATGATGCAGCACAGCCACAACCAGGGGAAAAGCTGCCTGCAAGGAAGCCCAGAGCAGAAACTCCCCTTTGTGGCATGTTTGGAACAGGGAACACAGTGCTGTCTGAAATCCCCTCAGATCACACCAGCAGCTCTGCTGTGAGGTTCATTGGGGTGCAGCTTCACCCCTGTATCCTGAGGAGGAGAGGAGGGTCAGCAGGAGGCACAGGCAGGAACTCTCAGCAGTGCCAGGGCTGGGAGGGCACAGACCCCACGTGTGGTACCTGCTCTGCAACAAACCCATCAAGGAACACACACAGCCCTGGGGCCCAGCTCAGCAGCTCCTTCCACCTGTAACCACTTGCCATGACACCAGCAGCATGACTTCATTTCTATAATGTCCTGACAACTGCCCTCATGTGCCATTTAACAAATGAATAACTCTTTAGAAGAAGTCTGGACATGAATACCAGCTCTGTGCCCCTGGGGAGGCACAGGAGTTATTCTGTGGCTTCATTTGGACTCTCAGTCCAAATATTCTGCAGAAAGGTTTGTACCATCCAGGCAGAAAGGCTTGCAATCTGCTGGGGGGAATCTTTAAGAAATGAGTTTAATTTCCAAGGCCCCTGCCAAGGCTCTGAGCTGGCACAGCTGGGAACACCTTCCCCTCCCTCACCCCGGAGCAGAGGGGAGGATGATGTATTTTTTCATCACCCTTACAAGCTTTTATCTGAGCCTTTTTGATGAGGAAAAAAACAATCTTTATAATCATGTTATTGATTTAGAAAACACAAAAGTGCATTAGAAATAAGTGCCCCCAACAACTCTTCCCCCACCCTCCGAGGGCAGCAGCCACAGTGTGAGCAGCAGAAGGAACCCGGGGCTGGAAGGAGCTGCTGCCTCTTGGGACTCAGACCAGAGGGACAAGATGCAGAATTATGTCACACTGGCTCAACGCTCTGACTTTTCGTGTTTCACCATCCAAAAGGCCAGTGTAACATCCTCTGGGGACAAATGAAGAAGCCTTCATCATTTCTCAGGCCATTGTTCACTTCTTTAAGGAACAGGAAAAATAATTCCTGACCCTCATGGTCAATCAGTTTATGCCCTGAAGCATGAGATTTGATTACCTCATGTTATTATCTCAGCAGGCAGACCTAAATGTTTCATTAATGGGAATAATCTTATCTATTCATTTAAAAAAGCAAAATGCTTCTGCTCGACCTTAAGCAACTTCCTGACTTTTCAAGCAGAAATCAACACTTAAGTGAAAGAAAAATAAAGACCTCCAGAAGTGGAGCAGTGATAACCTCATGTTGGGAAAAATGTGCTCCTCTCCAACCTTTTACAGCATCTCTTTGACAGTTAAATTTCATGGGAAATAGTTTTACATCTGTCATATTCTGACAATTTTGTGCATCATTAAGAAGTAGTAGCATCATTATTAATAGTGATGAGTAAGAACATTACAAACCCATTTAAAGCATCTGGTTTAAAATCACTACAGTTGAGGAGCTGCCCTTGTTCAGGGTGGGGTCAGGATGAGGTGATGATACTCAGGGGGATTTCTTGGAGGAAAAGCCCCCCAATACCTGGGGCAGTGCTGGCCTGGGGACACTGCTCCCCTGCCATGGGAATGAGATGTCCCCCACTCTGCCTTGTAGGGCCAGGGCAGGGAGAACTGGTTGAATGATATTTCAATAATTTACCCTGCAAAATTTGCAGCAGTTTCCAAATGAATTATTCAGACAACACCTTCCAGGACTGTGTTTCACCTGAGGTAACACCAGCCCTGCAGCAGGCGAAGGGTACTGGTGTCCCATCAACAGCTCCCAGGGAAGGCAGATCACAGCCCCAGGTCTGCTCCCCTCCTCCCAGCCTGCCCCCCACCCCCCCAAGCCTCCCACCCAGGGCACAGGAGGGGCCACATGGAAGGGCTGCAGCTGCCCCATCACCTGCCTGGGGACACATGTCTGTTTGTGGCTGGTTCCCAGGTTTCCATGGGAAGGTTAGATCCATATGCTGGATAAATAAAGACCAGAAAGTTTTTTTGCTAAATATGCAGTGCCATATGGGGGCTCACTTTTATGTTAAAGAAAAAAGCCCACAATAAATCCCACTCCCACCCGCTCTCCACAACAGCTCACACTGGCTGCCAAATCCTTTACCTTCATCCCTGAGCAAGCAGGGCCAGAATTCTGCTTCCCATTGCCCAGCAGGGAACAACCCTTTGGAAAGCCCTGCTCACTGCAAGGAGAGGTTGGAGCTCAAGCACCTCAGCCCAGCCCCATCACCTCTCCTCAGCCCTGGCAGGTGGCAGTTCCCATCTCACACCTCTCGGGCAGGTGTGGGGAGGGGAAGGCTCCTGGGCTGACCTGCAGCCCTTCATCTTCCTCCCTCCAGCAGCTCACACCATCCCAGCCCGGAGCAGCCCCGTTCCAGAGCTCGGATTAACACCCTCGTGTGTTGCAACATTTAATTAATGCTCTGCAGAAGAATATATTTGCACATGCTTAGACAAGAGAAAAGGCACAGGACTCATTATGGCTGCACCTTCCTGGGCTGGTGATTATTAATTAACACACCTCCAGTTCGTTTATCTAATCACAGCATAATTGGTTTCAGTTTTGGTCAATGTTTTACTTCATCAGCTCAGCAAACAGCAAGGCTCTGGTCCTGGCAGCCTCTGCCAATGCTGCTGGCACACGGGGGGCACCAGCTGCACCCTGAGCTGCTGCCACGTCTCCACGGGCCCTAATGGGGGCCTTGGCTCCACAAGGGCCACCAGGGACATCAGGATATTACTGAGACTCCCAAGAAAGAGGAGGGAATCCAACAGCATCCCTGTGCTCCAGAAGCCCTTGCATAAGGACAGGGCACAGGCCCAAGTCACAAACTATGCTGAATATTCCCCATCTCCCCCACACACCCCGGAACTCTCAGCATCACCTGTGGGTGGTTTTTCTGCACTTCAGTCCCTGCAGACCACTGGTTCCCTAAGATAAACAGCAAACAGCCTGATGCCCAGCTCAGGGCAGGGAACTCCCACTGGGACATGCTGGCACATGACAGGACATGCCAACATGCACCAGGTTTTACAGATCCTGAGCCCCTTTGGGGAGGAGAAGCTGAGCCCATGGCAGCCCCAGCTGCTGGCTCCAGAGGATGCTCCAGGGAGCCAGTCCCTGTGCCCAGCACTGACTGCAAGGGTGCTTTATCATTATTGAAAACAACACCCTCAGCAAGCAGAGCTGCTGCCACAATCAGCATTCCCAGCCAGCTAGGTGGGGTTTTCCAGCCTCACACACTCACTCCCTGGGTCCAGTCTGTTCACTGCTTTTAACTCCAGCCAACCCAGATGCACTGAAATATTAGACACCCAAACACGTTTCTTCTGCTGCTCAAATCCATCCTGGCCCTCAGAAACACCCTGTATTTTGGAAATCACCTTTGGCTGGTGGATCTGCAAGCCCTGTCCCCAGTGCAGATCTGGGGGGCACATTCTCCCCAGCTTCATGGAGCTGATGGCACAAAAGTGCCATTTATTTGTCCACAAATAAAGCCACACATTTTTAATCCCTGGGAGCCCCAGTAAATCCCAGTGCTTCAGCAGCCTCCCACGGCAAAGCAGGGCTCTGACTGCAGCCACAAGGCTGCACCCACCATACAGTGACAGTCAATGAACAGCGTGGGAGCTGTCACAGAGCTGTCCTCAACAGAAGGACTCGTTACCAGCCCAGGTGGGAAGCTAATGAGCAAGGGCAGCTCTGCAGGTCCCTGCTGCTGCTCGGGGCACAGCCCTGCAGACGTGCGAAGCTGTAACCCCAGTCCTGGGTGTCTCCAGTTCATCCCCCTGCCCTGCTCAGCCTCCCAGGGCTGGTCCCCACTGCCCAGCCCCCCCGAGCGGGCAGGACAACGCTGCTGGGTAATGAAATGACACAGCAGATGGAAGAGAACCTCATGGAGAGCCAACCAGGGCTGTCCTGGGCACCTTCTGGGGATTTTGAGAAATCCGAGGGTTTGGCTACTGAATCCCAGTCCCTGCCCTCCCTGCCCGAAGCCTCCCCCTCCCCAAGGAACTGGTGCAGGTGCTCTGAGCTTCACCCTGGCTCTTCAGAACTCAGAATGGGTTTAAAAATACTGACATTTGGATCTTTCTAATGTTATTACTGTAATTTTTACAGTCCGTGTGTCCGGCAGCCCGTGCTGGGGGCAGGATCAGGCTGTGCCAGGCGCTGCACATCAGCCAGGCAGGTTCAGCCCCAGCTCCTCCTGCAGCCCCGGCCCTGGGGCTGCCCCGGGCACAGTTTGGGGACAGCAGCGCCCGGCAGAGACAGTCACAGTGTGAGTCCCTTCGGGAGGAACAGGCTCGCGTCGCCAAGAAGCAAACAAACAACAAAAAGTTAAAATGTCAGAGAGAGAAGAGACAAAACACACAGCTGTGTGTTCCAGGGCTGCATTGCCGTGCCCGTGCTGCCACCTGCAGGCACCGCGTCCTGCCCAGTGCCCGGGGACCTGCCCTGTGCCACGGGAAAGCCCTGCTGGGCTGCCCGGGCACCTGCTGCCACGGAGAGAACATCTTGCCCCACCAGCAGAACCTGTGCCGGGCGATCCATCCCCCCCCCCCG